CACTTCAAGTCAATAAATGAAAGGAAAATAGCTGGGATTACAGCACAAATGCTTTTCAACCTTTAAACCAATACTGCGTCTAGACTCTAATTTATCAGCATCATCCATGAATCAAGCATTAAGGTCATGAGAACAAAGAAAATGAGAAGCTCCTGATTGTTTCACATATTCTCCTCGTCATTTTCTTAGGAAACGTAAAGCGAAAAGTATGGACAATATACACCTACTCACCTTGTACATAATTGTTTTAAGGCGCAAAAGATCAACCAGGAAAGGCAACTAGTAATTTTAGCGTCGGTTTAACTCTGAAGTACTTTATCAACTTTCTCCGTAACAAGCTACACAAAAGTGTTTTCGATGCTAACAATCTGGCCCGGTTGTTTGAAGGTTGGATAACACTTTCCACTAAATAAATCTCTATCCATTGGATAGCCCTGCACCTTTACTTCACACTTATCCGCTAGATAGCAATTTATCCTTTATATAGCGATTTATCCTTTAGATAGCGTTTGCCACCCTTTGAGCAACTGGGTCTGGTAACCTGGAAAAGATACGTACCCGCAGTCACCATTCCTAAAACCCGATTTTTTGCTCTTGCTTCGCTCAGAGTTGCTCAAGTCTTCACAACTGCACGGTGAACCGCCACTGTCTCCGTCATCTTCATCATCTTCACAGCTATCGCCATGTCCATTCATATCCCTTGTCTCTTCCACGATCTCATTCACACATACCTCTTCCTCTTCCAATTCCTCCTCGTTTTTCGCAGTTTCCTCTGTTTTCAGTTCATTGTTCGCTGCCGAGATAGTTAAGTGAGTACCACATTTACATTTCTCTTTGCGTCTCGCTTTCTTTTTCAATCGCTTCTGCTCTCTTCTGAGTTCCTTGGCTCTCTCCGCCTCAGAAATCTCTTCGACGACTTGTTCCAGACGTGATATGCCTTGCTTTTCTTCAACCGCCACCTGACAAAGTCAAAACGACACCCATGTAAAAAGAAACGCAAAACATCGCCAACCAACATTACTTGTTGCTGGAACTATGGTCAAGTTCTGTAAAGATAATCAACAGGTAATATAACCTGGTTTTTCTTCGTTTGATCATGTAGTTTGTTCCCTCGTTCTTTATTTCACTCCGTAACTATTGTGGATCGTTTGTTCATTTCTGTTTTTTGCTTGTTTGTTTTCTTTTTTGCATACGTTCATGTGATTTTGGTTTGATTGGATTAACAGTTAGAGCTTCCGTTGATCGTTCCGTGAAGCTAAGGAATTCGGTTCTTGTTTATTCAATCAATCGTTCTATTCAAACTCTGGTCAATCCAACTATTCCTCAGCAAATAATGAATAGAAAGTCAACAAATAAAATGAAAGCGCCTCTTATCTTGCCTCAAAACTTTTCCTTAGAGCTTCCACCCCCAGATAAAACAGCATCTGCCACGTTTGCTCCTCAGCCCTCAGTTTCTGCCACAGTCGATGAAGTCTTTCCCACAGGTGAATACCGAGACACGTTAACACCTTCAAGATGGACCGAAAATAAGATGGTTTAAATTAGTACGGAAAGAAACCTCACCGATACTAACCACCAGCTAACCTTGTTGCGGAAAAGTAGTTTTAGGGA